CAAAATTTGTTGCAAATATCTTGACCTTGATTCAAACTTCAATTCGCATTTTTTTTTGTCATTGTAGATGCCATTCACTTTGCTTTTAAATTAGGTTAATACCATATATATTTAGAACAAGATTTTCTTAAAGTGGTGATTTTTTTTTTCGCCTTGTTTGTTTTGTTCAAACCCCCAAAGGATAATGTTTATTATTTTTAATGATGGCTCCTGATCTAAATAAAAGAGAAAAAGTTGTTTATGCATTATTGACATTGTTTCAATACTTCTAATTATCTGTGTAGTATTAATTCCTTACTACCTAAATGAATATGCTGCCAGCTTTTTCTGACAGAAGGACAATCATTCAAATTGCTGAAAAAAAGTGGAGTTTGTGTAACTTGACTTGCTAACTCGAATTCTTTTAACTGAGGATATGATGTTCACCAAATAGAATTAATATAAATTTGAATGCATCTATATAATTTAAATCAATGCATGCACATACTATGAAACTAGTAACACAAACTTCCAAATATACATTACTTTATGCTGCTTGGGATAATTCAATTTTCTCTGTGTAGATTTATACAAATTACACAGCATGTAAGACATCATGACATCTTAATATAATTCAACATGCTTACATTCATTTTAAACCTGAAGATTGCATTGCTATATGTCATGTTTCTCTTGCATACGACTCAAAGTTGATGATGTGATACTTGTTTGTATTGTCTACATGAGGTTTCAAATTAATCAGTATTTTGTTTTGAACCTTATTAAACATCCTTAAATATAAATCCTACATGTGCTGTAGCTCATTGATACATTCAAGGGTGTTCTCATATTAGTAAACTATACAATCTCCTCTCAAAAACATCAAATCTACTTTACAAGAGTAACTAATCTACATACTAGAAGTAATTGTTCAAGATGTCCAACATAATGTAAATGTTAAACATAAACAATTTTCACAAAAGAAACTTAAAAGCTTTATTATTCGGTAGTTCTTGCTTGCTATTTGAGTACAACAAAAGTAATAGATGGTTCATCATGTTTCACATATTAGTGTTAAATGTAAATACGCCTTTATTGGTCACAACTATTCCAATATGTTATTATACTGTTATTTCA